AAACCATCAAATAAATTAATTTTTTTCATTTTTAGGTGAACTTCCTTCATTTCTATGGAAATGCCTTCTTTGAGAAAGGTTAAACTTGGAAGGAATCATTTAAATGGCAATTTGCCTGAAGAAACGTGTCATCAACTCCCCTTGCTGGAAATCTGGATGCTGATGAAAATCAATAGAGGGAAGAATTCCAAATTCAATAAGTAATTGTACATCGTTGAAAGAATTATATTTGAGTGCCAACTCATTTACAGGTATGCACTTATATACACATGTTGTTTTTCCCAAAGTTATTATATGAATAAAATGTCAATAACTCTGGATTAGAAGATTAGATTATTTAATCCCAAAGTGATTATGGATAAAATGATATATAGGATATAAAAATTATACCTTGGTGCTATTACATATATGTCTCTATACGTACATGTATGGGGTTGTGCTATTGGGGTGAATCGTTTTTATTTTTCTTTCTAATCTGTCGAACAAGAATAAATGTGAAATGAGATCATTTGTTTACACACACATATTTTGATGACACATACGCATAGTGATGAAATAATAATTTTAAATCAGTTATATTTGTGAAAACTTTTCCAAATGCAAAAGTAACTACACATCTTTAAAAGGATTATATTTTAAAGGTTTTATTTACGTACGAGTGACAAGTTTTCGGAATGTTTAATCTAGATGATTTGTAATATCTGCATTATATATATCCAGTATACCTATATAATTGGATAGGGATAATAGAAAGGACCACTTGGATTTTGATGCCTCTCTCTTGCCTTTTCTTTTTCATTTTTCCCAGCATTTGTTTTGTGTGTATGTGGGCGCGCATGCTTTTGTTTCTTTTCAAATATAGAAAACAACTTGGAAGGCATTAACTTCAATTATATCCATGATATGCCTAAATACATGGATGAGTTGTGATTTTTGTTTCCAATATACAAGTTTTTACCAATATACTCAAAAAAGCTTTTCATGTTGTCAAATGCATTTTAAATAAGTATGTACTTTGATTTGTATTGCTACAAAAAATTTTATTTTGTATCAATAAAAATATTTAATTTAAAAAGAAAAAAAAACCATATAAACAGTAGAATAAAAATGATGATAGTATTATTTACATATATTGCTTTATGTGAGAAATAAATATAAATTTAATAAACATAATTCCAATTATATCATAACAAGATTGACATTACTAATTACTGCTAATCTTAAATCAATAATTAGTGTAAAAATTTAAAAAATCTTAAATTGTTTGAAGTAAATCTTCTAACCAAAGCCCAAATATCACATATTCTGATTCATTATTCCTTGCCTCACAGTTCAAGTCCATCTATAATTATTAAACATTATTTCATATTTTCCCAAGAACTGTAGATGTTATCTCTTTAGTTTATTTTATTTTTTAAAACTTCTAGTAGACGAATTAAATAGACAAAAATATAATCATAAACCCATTAATTACAACATATTAGTTCAGAGTTGTGCTTTTTCCCATTTAAATCATATTTTTCCGAGAACTGTATATGATAATTATTTTCTGCTATAATATTAATCCAAACGGATCTAAAGGCACATCAATTTTTGAAAGTAATTATACATTGTTTAAAAACATTGTCAGAGCTGGTAACCATACGAGCTCACTTTAATGTAAAACAAATAAGTGAAATTCTATCATCTTTCTGCAGCATTCTTCTACAAGCCACAATTTTTATTCTTTTTAAAACACCTATACCTGTTTAGTGTTAAAGAGCATTGTAAGAGCTTCTAATTACATGCTCAATTAATGTAAAATATAAGTGAAATCCTATTAACTTTCTCAAAATTTCTCAATAAAATAGATATAGCGACAAGTTATGGTTAATGCACCCCTTCCTTAATTTTATGCTTTCAAGGGAATTTTGTGTATTATTGTTACAGCTTTGCGTGGGTGACGAACATAGTGCTTATTCTATAGTTCCTCCAAAGTTTCAATTGAAGATATTTCATTCAAAAAGTATAGGCTTGTTGCCTTCTTTGAGAGTTGTTAACATTGGAAGGAATCATTTAAATGGTACTTTGTCAAAAGAAATGTGCCATCAACTCCCTTTGCTAGAAGTCTTTTTCATGATAATTATTTTGAGGGATGCATTATATTCGAAAATTAATATGTAACTGCTCATCTTGGAAAGAATTATATTTGATGTCCAACTCATTTATAGGTACGTAGTTGTGTGAGTTAATTTTTTTCTAATATTGTTCTCCAATAAATTCAATGTAAAAAAGAATTTATTTTTCATCATCTCATTCATACTATACATTCATGTAATGGTTGATTTTATCTTTAAAAAATGTATATTATTCTGTCATTTAAACTTTCTTGAAGTGCTTGTCAAAATGATTAAGCCTTACAAGGCACAGATATGTTTTTTTTTTTTTGATATTCTAAATTATATATTAATTTATTATTTATTATATTTTCTTAAATATTTTATTTCTAGATTATGTTATTGAATTCCAAAGTCAATTATGAATTAATAAGTGTTGATTATGTCAAGTCATTAATACCTAAATAATATCGTGGATCAACAAACATATATTTGTAACGTGTTTATTGGTTTATCCGCTATTCATCTCCTCTAAAATAAATTTCAAATGATATTTGCTTTTCATCGTTTCATTCATTTGTATGTCATATAATTTTTTTTTTTATTTTTCATGACACACACTCATGCAATGGTGGGGGCACAATTTTCCAGTGCAAAAATTTTCATAGTGAAACAAATATTGAATCAATTGGTGAAAACATTCCCAGTGCAACTAAGTAACTGGATATCTTTAAAAGATTATTATTTGAAAGATTTTACAGCATATGGGCGACAAGCCTCTAAGATTGGTTAATTTTGATTATTTGTTTTCTCTATAATGATCTAATTTAATATCTTATACACAATATTATAGAAAAGATTGGACTCATTGGTTTTGATGCTTCTATCTTTCCTTTATCAAATGGGAATTTCTTTCTTTCTTTCTTTTTTAATATGCAAATATAGATAAGCCATCTAAATTTCTCAATAAATCACATTAAAAAACACACGCACATCCCATACATAAAAAAAAATTTATTTTGTGGTTATTGGTCCTCCAAGTAGGGGTCATTGCATTTAAAAAATAATTGGAGCTCTTAGAGTGTATTAGTGTTATTTCTCAATGTGAGTAAGTCTTCAATGGTGTTCTAAAAATATAAATCTATGTGATCGTCTCCTAAAAAGACGTGTGTTTTGGGGCTTCCAAAATTTGCATTATTTTATGTGCATAAAATTAATGATTTGTTGGGTAAAATTATCCCCGGATGCTTCAATAGAGCATATATACCAAGTGATAATTTGAATGTTTTATATTTTTTTGATCAAATGGAATGTTTTAAGTTTAATTATATTCATGATATGTTCATACGCATTCATGAATATTGAAATATTTTTTTAGTGTACATTCGCTGTTAATATACTAAGACAAATTCTTAATTTTGCAATCAAACTATTGGATGTTGCCCAACACTTTTCACGTGGGTGTGTAGTTTTTATGAATTATTTAATTCCTTACAAATACAAAAATCAAAGACACATATGGTAATATTTTTGTGATAAATATTATTACCTAATTTAACCTCATATTTAACCTAATGGATAGTATTTACCAATTATATATAAAAAGACTCACTTTTTATTATTTATTTTTACTTATGACAATCAATATATTAGAATAAATAAGAAAGAAATTTTTTGTGTTTTTTTTTGGAGGGGGAGGGTGCAAACTCTCTTGATAGAAAGAATCTGACTGGGGAAAGGCCTTGTGGAAATATTTGTGTGTGTGTGTGTGTGTTTTTTTTTTTTTTTGTCAATTCTATTTATCATTGTTAGACTAATTTTTTGACTCCTAAAATATGACCATCAATTAATATAATTTCATATAGCTTTCTTGTTTCATTCTATCATTATCTTGTTTTTATTCTCTCCAAGATCAATTTAGTTAGTGTTAATTGATTAATCAAAGTCTTGTAACTATTATATATTACTTTAATGTAATTTTAGTTGTTCATTTTTAAATTATAATAGGTGAAATTCCATTGTCACTCTTTAGCATTTCTACTCTAAGAATCGTGGATTTAGCAAAAAACAATTTGAATGGTAATCTTCCGATCCTAGCTAACAATGAGATGTTGCTAAAAGAATTACATCTACAGTACAACTACTTTACAGGTATGCTCAATCTGCCCATCCCTTACTTTCATTCTTTAAAAAAATTTCATTTATTATTATGCTTATTCTATATTGGTAGCAAATTTTTTTAACAGAAACCACTTTAAGAGTAAAAATTACAGTATACTGGATACATTTAATGCAATCCATTTTTCTTAATTGCTAATATTTGATTTTTTATGTCAAGAAAAGTTGTTGCACACATGGCTCTTACAAAAATCCCTTCAATTTTTATGTGAGGGAGTTGTCAAAAAAATTATTGTATATTTTTCTATTAACGTCAGGCCTCTAATTATCAAATTTCCATGTATTATTTATATTGCCGTGTGAGAATTTGGGGAATAGCCAGTCCTGCATGTACTAACAACAAACAAACATTTTGTATTTTTCTTATAGGTGCAATTCCGTCCTTTATTTGGAGCATGTCTTCTTTAAGAATGGTTGACTTTGGCATGAATCATTTAAATGGTAATTTGCCAAAAGACTTTTGCCATCAACTCCCTTTGCTTGAAATCTTCCATGCTGATTATAATCAATTAGAGGGAAGCATTCCAGAATCAATAAGTAATTGCACATCATTAAAGGAATTGTACTTGGGTGGTAACTCATTTACAGGTATGCATAATGTACTTATATTTATGTTTCCATTTTTTAATCTCTTTTTTGAATGGAGTAAATCTAAAATAGGATTTTGTTTTTCATCATTTGATTCATAATTTCTTGTTGTTCATTCATATTGAAATGGAGTAAATCTAAAATTCCATTACCTTTGTTCTAAAATTTTATGCATCTAAGAATAACTTCAATTTTATATATTTCCTCCCCTTATTTAAGAAGACATTCTTTATCTGTTTTAACTTATTTCCTTTTAATTTTTTCAATTTTTTAATCTTGCAAATTCATTAAATCTTTTATGGTTGAAGCGAGTATTACTTAAAATTATTTTTTGTTATATTCAACGTGAGTTTTAGACATATTCTTAAAGATAATAGATTTAGTAATATTTGATAATTTTTGTATGATAAAGTAGGTTTTACATTAAAGTACAGACAACTTTGGGGTTGTATTTTTGTTATTCATTATATATAAATAAAAATATTTAAATACGTATGTGAAATAAATTACAAATTATGATAATGAAAGTAAATAAAAAAATTAAATTCCACCTAAAAATGCTAGTTAATGAAACTAATGAAACACAACACAAGATTTTTTCAATAGTCAGACAAATAATTAAATCGTTTCACTTTAATTCATCTAGGTTTAAAGAGGAATTGTTCCACATATTCAACTCTCTAAAAAATTAATAAGACTATTCAAATTAAATTTTTTTCTTATTATAATTTTTGAAAAATTGTTTAGTTTGAAATTAAAAGATGTTGCAAAATAGATACATACATACACACGCACCCAGAGATGCATGTATATAATAGGAATAATGAAATTTTTAGTCCCTTAAATTTGCTTCAATAATCAATTTTATTTTTTAAATTTAAATTTTTATTGATTTGGTTCTTTAAGTTTGCCTTGGCTATTGATTTGGTTCTTATTATTTAAAGAACAACAACACTATTAAATTTGTTGAAATTGATCTTAGAATATTAATGACAACCATGTAAATTAATGAAAGAAGTATAATTATTTATGTAGGAAAAAATAGACAGAAATTAAGAAAAGAATAAAAATGCATCATAAATGATTAGATTGATAAAAATTAAACTTATTTGAGCACTATCTTTTTCTCACTTAGCTACTTAAACATGCCAACTAATCAACATATATTACATATTAGATTAATTTAACAGTTCATTCGTGTTTTAAAATTTATCACATGATAATTTAAGAAAATATAAGGAATGAAATTGATAAAATTAAATATGGGAAACCAAATCAATACCTGAAGCAAACTTGAGTGATTAAAAGTTTTATTATTCTTAAATGGAACATATGGACTCATTATATATGATGTGGAACCATTTCTTTTAATTAAGGAAAGTATATTTGGTAATGTCTCAGTTCAATTGTAGCAAAAAACATCACCGAAAGTAGTTTAATACTTTGTTGCCACACATGATTAATTTGCAATTATGAAAAAGTTTATTAAAGAGTACATCCTCTCCTATTTGATTTCATTTTTCAAAATTTTCAATAGTTTCTGTTTTATTTTACAAATTTATTAATTTCCGATCAAATAATTATTAAACAATTACAACTCAAAAAACTTTAATTTTAAAATAAATCTTCCATAATTATAGCATCTCAAAGATCGTTTATGAGTTCTCTAATTTTTTTATTTTAAGAATATTTATGTAAGGTTAATTGCATAACACAAATATTTAAGTTTTTGGATTACTAGGATACATGTAGTTTTTTATGTTATATTGTATGAGAAATGCTTAGATAGACTCAATACGCCACATCATTCATGGTCCATCCAATAAAATTATGACATTTAGATTCCATTAAATATAAATTAATTATGATGTTAATGATAGTAAAGAGGGAAAATGCAAGAAATTAAAATAGCTATTCTATTGAAAAATTTAAGTCATTAAAAATAATGACACATAATATTTTAGTTTATTTAATTGGTGCAATTTTATTAGATGGATCATGGATAACATGATGAACCAGGTCTATAAGAATTTCTCATTGCACAATGTACGTATTTTTCCACCAATATATATATATATATATATATATAGATGTATGTATGTATATATATAATGCAAGCACCATTGAAGAGGAAATTTTATTACCTATCTTTTTTTCTCCATTCCCAAGTGTGAGATTTTATCTTTCTCTTATTAACTTCAAATCTATATTTTCCCCCCTTTATTGAAGAGTACATCCTTTCCCTGCTTTATTTTTATTTTCAAATTTTTTTGAAAGTTTTTGTTTTATTTCACAAATTTATTGATTTCCTATTAAATAACTATACAAAAATTACAACATAAAACATTCAATTTCAAAATAAATCTTCTATGATCATGTCATCTCAAAGATAGTTTATGATTTCCTAATTTTTTATTTTAAAAACATACTTAATTATGCAAAATCAAACTAGCATGACGCAAATATTTAGGCTTTTGGATTACTTACAGATGTGTAGTTTTTTATGTTATAATACATATGTATATTTTTTGGCTAATATATATATATATATATATTATGCAAGCAACACTGAGTAGCTAGGAAATGTTGTTAACAATCTTTTTTTTTGTTTCCAGGTTTTATACCTAAGGAAATGGGCAGCTTTGTTAAATTTGAATTGTTATGTTTGGAAGGAAACCATTTGAGTGGACCCATTCCTTTTAGTATATTCAACATTTCAACATTGACCAGCTTAGACCTTGACTCTAATTCCCTCTCTGGCCTTCTCCCATCACATTTAGGGATTGGCCTTCCCAACTTGAAAATGTTATGGTTGTCAGGGAATGAACTAACTGGACAAATTCCAAATAGCATATCAAATGCTTCTAAGCTCATTTTGTTAGATTTGTCATTGAACAAATTTAATGAAGCTATACCCAGTATACTCGAAAATCTATCAAACTTGATGAAATTATCCATGGATGGGAATGATTTGAATGGGTTATTCCTCATACAATTAGCAAATTACATAGCCTCCAGTGCTTAAGTCTCAGCAACAATAGATTGCAAGGGTCCATTATAGATGAACTTTGTCAACTCAAAAGTCTAAGTGAATTGTATCTTGCCAACAACATGTTTTCAGGAGTGGTTCCAGGATGCCTTAGGAATACTTCTTTGCGAAAGTTGGATTTGAGCTCTAACAAATTGATTTCTCCTATACCCTCTTCCCTTTGGAGTCTCAAAGATATCTTGGCAATAGACATGTCTTGCAATGCACTAAGTGGGACAATTTCACCAGAGGTATCAAACTTGAGGACACTTATATTATTGAACTTGTCATAAAATCAAATTTCAGGAAGCATCCCTACAACTATGGGTAGCTTGCAAACTTTGATAACCCTATCATTAGCCCAAAACAAATTACAAGGTCATATTCTTGAATCGTTTGGTGGCATGATAAGTTTGGAGTCCATGGATCTTTCTCATGATTTTTTGTCTGGCATGATTCCAACATCCTTGGAGTTATTAGTCCATTTTCAACACATTAATCTTTCTTATAATTTATTGCATGGAGAAATTCCAAGTGGGGGGCCTTTTTAGAATTTCACTGCTAAATCTTTTATGATGAATAATGATCTTTATGGGAAGTCCCTATTGCAAGTTCACCCATGTAGGAAAGAACACAAGCTCATTTCAAATAAAGTGAAGCTATTAATAAACTGCTCATTGCCTATCATATGCATGGCTGTCATTTTGGTTATTTCAGGCATTGTCTTTCTAAAGTGTAAGAGAGATCATGTTAATGATTCAACCACTAGGGACTTGATAAAGCTTGAGATACCAAATAGGATATCCTATTATGACCTCTGGCAAGGAACAAATAGATTTAATGAGAGTAATCTTCTTGGCTCTGGAAGTTTTGGATTAGTATACAAAGCATCTCTTCCAAACTCAAAAATAGTTGCTGTCAAAGTATTTTAAGTTGGAAATGGAGGAAGCATTGAGAAGTTTTGATATTGAATGTGTTGCCATGTGCAATTTACGCTATCGTAATCTTATTAAGATCATTAGTTGTTGCTCAAATGATCATTTTAAATCTCTAATAATGGAATTCATGGCAAATGGTAGTCTTGACAAATGGTTATACTCTCATAACTATTGTTTAAATGTCTTGCAAACGTTGAACATTATGATTGATGTGGCAGCTGCTTTGGAATACCTTCACCATAGTTCTTCTACAATAGTTGTTCATTGTGATGTGAAACCAAGCAATGTTTTATTAGACGAAGACATGGTGGCTCATCTTAGTGATTTTGGTATTGCTAGATTGTTTGGTAAAGGACAACTAGAAATTTATACCAAAACTTTGGCTACAATTGGCTACATGGCACCAGGTAATGGTATAATAATATTTTTTAGACTTATTTATTTGTTCTTTTGTTTGTTATGCTTTATAAAAATTCGGATTATTTTATTACTAAATATTTTCTTATTAACTATTCAACAGAGTATGGATCAGAAGGAGTTGTTTCTGTTAAAGGAGATGTGTATAGTTATGGTATTTTTATTAATGGAAATGTTTACAAGGAAGAAGCCAACAGATGAGATGTTTGTTGAAGGATTAAGTTTGAAGCATTGGGTTAGCAAATCAACACCACATTCAATCACCAATATTCTAGATGCCAATTTGCTACTCAAAGAACATAAAAATATTGGTAATATATCACCTTATATATCATCAATTTTTGAGCTAGCATTAAATTGTTGCCAGGACTTACTTGAGGCACGACTTTCAATGGTTGATGTTGTGGTGTCATTAAAAAAAATCAAGGTTATATTTATGGAAAATGTTAGAGTTACTTCAAGCTGAATAATTGTTGAAACAAATTTTAGCTACTATTCATTTAACATTTTTTTTTCATTTTTTGGGAATATGTACTATTAGAAAATGGAGTGATGTGTGTTGTAATAATATATGATGCAAATTTTGAAATTTCCTTACTTGATTATATGGGTTTTGGATTTCTTCATGTTGTTTCTTTTTTTACTTGTTAGCATTTTGTTTTCCAATAATAAGAACCTAAATTCCATTCTTGTTGTTCATTAGTTATTTGATTTGCGAAGAAATGGTTCTCTAAAAAAATCAAAATGAGCACTACAATTTTCTTTCTCTCCTCTATTATTCTCTAAATAATTATGTATTAGAAATCTCTTGTGAGAAGAACTTGAATAACCAAAGTAGTATATCATTCGCTCCAAAGAACATGCTTAAAGAAGAACACATTAACAATTTATTTTGTTTATATATCTCATTGATTTTCGCAATTATGAATCGAGTGATCCATAAGATACTATCACTCAAACTTTCACTTTGGTTTTCCAAGTTTTTTCTTTTAAATCAAAAGGTGTCAGTACTTTATCATTCAATCAATCTGTTGAGAAGTTTTTAAAAAAAATATTCAATATCTTCTATAAGTCTTTAAAAAAACTGCACATTAATTCAAATATTCCAATATGAAAGAGTATTTACACAGAATATATATGTGACTAAAAGTAAAAACAAATCTGTACAATAATTAAAATTATTATGATTATATAATTATATGAGTGGATGTCCATAATTCCTAAATTATAGGGCACTTTTGAAGGAGTTTCTCCGTCCTAAAATATAAGACACTTTGAATAGATTAAGATTTTATTAAATATACCAGTTTTAATACAACCCTCTCTTTCTCTATAATTAATTTATATCCCTTCTCTTTTTAATATAAATTAAATGATGGGTATTTTGGAAGTTTATATTTTTATTTTGGAAAGATAAGGTTGTTAAGTGTATTTAATGGGGTTTATTACTATGTAAAATTTTGTTTAAAAATATCTTATAATTTAAGACAAAAGGAGTATCATACATTATGATTGATGTCAATGTCTATCTCCAACTACTCTAGTTGGCTTGCCATTAATTTTTCACCTATAACATTTAATATGTCCATCTCACTTACTTTCTGTCTGACAGTTTCTAATAAATCTTAAATATTTTTCAATGAAAATTTAGATAAGTTGGGTTGAGAGTTCATCAAGGTTACAATATATTTTTGAGTTCAAAAAACACTTAATAAAATACTTACACATCACCAATCAAAATACTCACAATTAATGACATATTGAGTGTTGAATGTGTCTTAGCAAAATAAAATCTTGTAAACTACTATTATCTTATACGTAGCTCAATTTACTTTTAAATACATCTTTGTCAATTTCTTCTATCTTTCATTTTTTTTTTCAAATCAATATATATATATATATATATATGTTGGGTTATCCTAATAATAAATAACTAAGAACGCCAACTTCAGCCATGCAATCTCTTGGTTATGCTTCTTGAAAACTATAACCTCTTCATTAGCTCAATTCATTTTCCTAGTCATAATCTTTGTTTGGTTATTAACCAGAATATATTCTGGTTTAGTGTTTTGCTAATGCCTTTGTTTGGCTAGTCTTTAAGGAAAACATCATAAAATTAACCATATAGCCACAGCCTACAACTCTTCAAACTAAGTTCAAGTTTGGTTCACTTGCTTTCAACATTACCATTTTCTGTGGTTTTAATGTAACTTGCTTTTAACATTACCGTTTTCTGTGGTTTTTAATGTAAAACCAAAAGTTCCCTGCTCCTAATTTTTTTATCCATTGTTTTTTTATTTATTAAATTATTTTTTTGAGTGTCTTCAAAAAATGTGTTTTGGGGCTTCCAAAAGTCAAGCCATTTTAGGTGCATAAAAAAATTTCATGGCCAAAATTAACCGCCGATGCATGACTTAAATAGAACATATATCCCAAACGATAATGGAAATTCAACTAATTCCAAAAATATTCCAGAAATTATCTTAATCTCCCTCCTAATAAAAATTAATATTTACATATTTTTATCTTCATCTTGTAGACGACGGAGATGTGGTTGCATTACTCTTCTTTGTTGAAATGATCATTACTTGAAATTCTTTTTGGTGGATTGGACGTCAGTTTTAGACTTATTTTTGAAAACACACACACTCA